ATAGCTGAAAATCTAAATTTATAGTATGTCCCATTCCAAACTTGCAATTTTAAAACCCTTACCTTGGAACCTTTCATCCAATGCAATTCTCTTTAAGGCAGTAAGTAATAGCCATCAAAACCAAACCAGAGGAATCAAACAGTCTCAGAGTGACAAAATATTCTCATAATTACAAATATGAGCTTCTTTAGTGGGTTTTAACAAAATAAACAACATAGATAGCAATATATACAGTAATTTTCTTAACTAGAAAATCACTATCGCTTTGAATTACTAAACATAGCTGCTTTTGTTTTGCCCTAGGAGAAAGAAAAAAGTGGAAGGAGAGGTTGGAGAGATGGTTCATATCAGCTAAGAGCACTGGCTGTTCTTGCAGAGGCCCTGGGTTCAGTTCCCAGCACCCATGTGGTGGCTAACAACTGTCTGTAACTTTAGTTCCAGGGGATCTGGTACCCTCTTTCGGCCTCCACCTGCATTGCATACACAGGTGCACTTACATACATGCAGGCAAAACACACACATAAAATAAAAAAGAAGTGGAAATAAAGTAGCTTTTCAGAAGAGGAGTGTGAACCTACATGAGTTGTTTAAAGAAAAACCATGCATGACTGTCATTTGGTATGCTTTCTCCTCACCTTCTCCACCTTGCATAAACTATAACTTTGAGTTGTAGCCTTAGAACATCTACCTAAGCTTTAAAATAAATGCCATTTGCAGAAATCTAAATTTGACATAGCAGCTATTACTACACACTGCTTTGACCCAAATTACAAATGGTCAACCCCAGGGAGAGTCTTTAAGACAAGCATAAAATATTCTCATCAAGCCTAACCCTTTGCTCGTCACAGGAAACACTTCTACTCTTCAGTATCATCAACCAAGTCACAATCTCAATGTGGGGCCACTCTCAGCAGTGCACCTGGCAGGCAATCAACTGGGAACAGCCTCGAGAGCAGACCTCATCACAGGAAAAGCCATCGGGTGGGGTCTGGGATTAGCGTCTGCCTACAGCTCTTCTTGGATTAATTCATAGCAGAAACTTAGAGACAACACTTGCACCTACAAATGCTTTCTGCTTTCCTTCCAATATTCAGTGGACCCCTTCTTACTGTATAGCTAAATATGAGAGAGAAATCAGGAAATATTCTTGAATGTTTTGCCCAAATTACCAATAACAGTGGGTGGTGGGATTGCAAATGGTTTTATTTTGCTTTTTCCTTACTTTTAAACAAAGGTAAATTTTTAATAGGTTTTCTTGGCTTTGTTTTTTGCAGTGCTGGAGGTCCTACCCAGGATCCTGCATGTGCTAAGCAGATATTCTATCTGAGTTGCTTCCCCAGCCTTAATTT